ACTGCAGGCACCCTTTGATTTCCAAAACTGTACAATTCATTCATACCAGGTTCTGGTTTCACTTTAACTTTCTGAGCAACTGAAGTCCTTAAGAGACAACAAAAACTCCCCATATCAATTAAAGCCTTTACTTCTTCAGAATTATTCAGTTTTGCTTTCTTCAAATATGAATTGCTCTGTTCTGAATTTTCGCCAACTTGCTGAACAGAATAATTTTTATCATTTGAATGATTATTTTCAGACTAGTAACACAATTTTTAGTTTTATGACCTGTTTTATTACATTTTCGGCATGTTACTACTGGTTTGGGCAGCGGACAACCCCTTGAAATGTGTCCAAAATTACTACAGCTGAAGCATTTTGGTTCATCTTTTTCATTATGTGTGACACAGGGTTCATAGCCACATTTTAGTTAAAAAAATAAGCACCTATAAGCACTTTTCAAGCACATTTTAAGAAAAAAAATAAGCACCTGTCTAATTACATTATACACAACTGCATAACCTTAAAAATTAGACTCATAATTTAAAATATGAGAAATGCAATATATATTAAGAGAGAATAAGCATTACCTCAACCATGGAAAATAATTACTTTTTTTAAAATTTTAAATAACAGTTCAATTTACAGAACTAGTTTACAATGAGAGAGAGAAAAAAAAAAAACTATGAAGAACTAAACTATATTACAAGATTTAATGATGAAATTTCAGTTCAAAATAGAGGAAATAAAAAATAATAAGGCATATTTATTCTATTCGCTTGGAACTTAATAAATCAGAAGACAGAAATTTGCTTCATGCTGTCACCCTTTAACAGTAAAAGCTTAACTACCCGCATACTTGAAAATTGGCGAATATTTGGACAGTCCAGCGTATCTTGAAAAAGAGGAGCGGAGGCGGGGAAGAGACTGTAGCCATACTTTAGATTTTTCTGCTAAATAAATGCTTTTGACATTTCGATATGTGCATCATATAAAAACAAACCAATGGAACAGAAAAATATTTTGCTTTGCAAGCACAGTAAAACTCTTTTAAATGTTCATAAACAAATCTCGGACTGAACATCAAAATTAATTATCTCTGCAAAATATCGCAAACGTAATTGCGCAATACGTGCGTCGTAATTCTTCCCTACATGATATTATGCAATCGGATTCAACAGCTGCCGGTACTGGGAGAATAAAGAACTAAATAACTGGGTGTTTTTCATTCTAATTTTCAACAGACGGCGTTAAATTTCCGGAATAGAATCATTCTTCGCTTGGGTTGGTAAACTGCAAAACTTTTAGTCCTATTCAATCCAGATTGGAAAGTGACAAAAAAAAAAAAAAAAAAAAAAAAAAAAAAGGGGTCCATTGCTTGTTTTGCAGTGAACTGTAACAGTTTCAATATTCGAGATTTTGCGGAGAAGGGGAGAACCCCCCAAACTTTGTACTGTATAATGTATTGGCAAAAAAAAATGAAATTATTTTGACTATTCAATTACTTTCCCTTTATTTAAGCCATTCCGAATATTATTCCTTAGAAAGCTAATCCGTGTTAAAACACAACTATTTTTGGAAGTTCTTCAGCAGTTACTGCAACTATGTTATTATAAACATCCATACATATATTCATAATATAAGCATAATGATCATAATAAACACGAATATGAACTGACCAAGCGGAACGAGAATGCAAATTATTAAGATCTTGATAGAAATTCAAACGTGTGTAGTATTTGGGTGGGAGGAAAAGAATGTGGAATGTAATGAAATTTTCTACTGCTTTGGCAATTCTTTGACCAACAGCACCTGTCTGTACTCTCTGCGCACTTCAAAGGTTATGTTAATGCAGAGAGAGGGGGAAAAGCTGTTTCCGGGAGTATGATTCACCATCTGACATTCCATATTAAGAAGAAAAGTTGTTTATTTAGTTTCGGCTTTGGTAAGGGAAAAATTGCGCGTTCATTTAAAAAAAAAAAAAAAAAAAAAAAAAAAAAAAAAAAAAAAAAAAAAAAAAAAAACTCTAAATAAAAAGTAAGCACCTATAAGGGCCTTTATATTTTATTTTCAAATATAAGGACTTATAAGCACTTATAAGGACCGCTATGAACCCTGGTGACACCGTAGAGTTTTTTCTTTTCGTTGATTGTAGCAACTGGACCATCTTTAAAGGAGTTTCGTTTGTCGTAAGACCCTTCTTTACGCGGTTGTTTATTGTTGAAAGTTGACTTTAAGGTATAACAATCATCTAGTTTTTCAACTAAATCAATTGGTGAAATCAATTCAAACCATATGTCAATAAAATGATCTTTTACTTCTGGAGACATTTTACGTTTTATCTGATTCACTACAATAAGATCGCTAAGTTTTTCAAAAGTATCTACTTTAATTCCGCTTATCCATTCATCAAAAAAATTTCTTAACTCATACATAAAATTCTTCCATGTGTTTCCTACACTCTTATTGTGCGTAAAAAATTTTTGGCAAAATTTTTCAGGTGTCATCTTGTACCGTTTTAATAAGATCCTTTTAACTTCTTTATAATCGTTTGCAATTTCATCGGTTTCTCTGGAGATTAACTGAGCGACATCGTACGGCAATAAGCCAAAAAAATGAGTAACCCATGTATTTTCTGGTATTTCAACTTGTTTAGCCAAATGTTCAAACATGATTAAATATAAACTGACATCATTCTCGTCAGGTTTAAATTTTTGCATCAAACAATGAAGCTCTAACTTTGGATTCATGTGCGTACCACTAGCATTTTCATTGGGGCCAGAATTTATAGATCTACTTTCTGCTTCAATACATAGTTTTTGCAGTTCAAATTCCATTTCATACTTTCGTTTTCGCTCCTCATATTCTTCTTTTTGCCTACGTTCTTCATCTTGACGTTTTCATTCTTCAATTTCCTCTTTTTCTTTTCTTTCATTTATTACAATGTTTAACCATCCTTTGGCGCATTCTTCATCGTACTCTTTGCTAGCCAAAATTATCTTTTTCAAATCGCTCATTTTATGACTCTCATTTACATCTTCTCCCATTTCTTCAGGTAATATTCTTAAATTGCATTTTTTTGCCTTACCGAAAATAGACATTTTCGTACTTTTCAAAGTGCAAATATATATATATATGCTATTAATATTAACTTCCAATTAGACAACTTAGTAGAACACAGTTATTGCTATTTTATAAGTTTGTTTGACGTTCTACATATATTTCAAAATTTAAAGAAATGAAAAATAAAATAAACTCTCTTTCCAAAATGATAAAAAAATAACAAATTAAATTCTACAATAAATATGTTACATCAATCAATGCACATACCTTGAAATTCAAATTCTTTTCAATTTATTTACGTATAGCAAATTCTTGTAGCTTTAGGCTTAGGTTTCAGAATAATCCCGCTTCTGATTTATGTTAACTTCCTTTTGTAGTTAAATTAATCACTCGTAAAATGGTTGTAAGAGACAAACATTTATTTAAAGATAAATCTTAATAACCTACACGTAACGTATTTGTAAATGTACATAACATAACAAACGTACTTATTGCATTGTACCATTAAACATTTCAAGCGTACATTATCTCAATGTATATTTTTTAAAATTATAAATAGAACGACATCCAGAAATGAGCTGTTGCCATTTTCTCAATAAATATTTTGTCTAATTAAATACAATTAAATAATTTACAATCGTGCTTACATGAATTTTAAATAAATTTTCTGTAATTCCGTAAAACAGTGTAAATTTATAGTTATATATATCATGTTACACGTTGTCAGCCAGCGGCGGTCAACACGGCCTAAACGGAAAGTCTAGTGTCAGCTACAGATGGCTGACGTGGCGCTCAACGAGTTAAAATTTATTTCTAAATTTTCTTAGCTTATTTGGAACCTCTTCTAATTGCTGATCCTTGCCCCACCTAAGGTACAAGTAAGTTAAAAACACAACAGAAAATCTTATAGTGCAAAAGAAAATTAAAGATGTTTGACTAAATAAAATTTAGAGTTTCAGAAATGCATTTTTAGAATTAAAAAAAATTCCAAAGGATAATTTGAAAATGCATAGCTGAGAAATTAAAATCAAGACAAATAACAAAATAGGACTAAAAAATTGATACATCCAAAGCTGCGAATATATCAATGGAGTGGATTCAAGTGCAAAAGAAAATAGATTCCATTACAACCATGCAATTCCATTATCAAAGTGCAACTCTGTAAAATATACAGTTGACTGATAGTTGAAACTTTCTTAGATACTTTTTAAAAAAATATATTACAAAATAAGCATGCATTTACATTACATGTACATTAAGTAAATAATTGTCTATTTAAATGCACAAGAGGTGATTTTGATTTGCATAAAAATATACATTTATGATAATATGTATTTAATATTTATGTAGAATGCACTTAATATTTTGCACATTTCTACTTTACTTGCTGCTTTTTACTTAATGTAATTTGCTGAATGAAATGCATAAAAATGATTTTTGAATGTTGCAGTTAAATACGATATTTAATTTTCTTCACCTTAAAAAAAAAAAAAAAATTCTTTTAACAGGGGTATATTTTACTTTCAGTATAATGCAGGTTTTGATTCTTATGCAATCTACCACTTTTAGTATGCAATTATTTATTTTAAACATAATGCCACTAGCACACTACTTTTAAATCTGAATATGAAATAAAATAATATCAAGAAATGACTAAAACAATAACCAATTTCAGTGGTGCTGCCATCAAAAACATAAATAAATAATTGTTAAAAGTAGTAAATCACATACTATGCTATTACCCTTAATAATTATACTTATAAATCATAATGAAAAAATCTGCTTCTCATTTTGCAATCCAGACATATATTTCATGCAATATTATTCAAATCATAACAAATGAACAAGATAACAGATGTTCAACATGCATTATTAAAATTATTTATACGCATACAAAAAGTAAAAACTAATTTTTTAAAGCAGGATTTACAAAAACAAATGTTCACAATGTTTACCTAGTACTGATTTCAATGTTCCAAAGGTAAATGTATTGAGAGATAATCTAAGAGATTCCAACATTTTCAAATAAATCTGCAATTATGGAAAATTTTTATGTAATATGTAACAAAATAAAGCTAGTTATTTTATTAATATATTCATAAATACTTGATAAAAAATAAGCTTTCTTTAAAATTCATAAAATCATTAATGAACTAAAAAAAGAAAAATGATTTATCATATAGTTTAAAGAGAACAGCGCATTAAATTTTGTGTAGAGAATTATTTAATCTCTTATTTCCATTAAACTATATAATAAATTATTTTCCTTCTTTTTAATTCATTAAGCTTTAGACTTTAAAATGAAGACACCCAAAGAAAATTATTTCAACATTAATTTTAAAACTCTAAATCAAATTTTGAAAAAAAATCACTGCATCACATTCTGTTGTCATCCACAAAAAGAAAGTGTGTGCACAATTTGAAATGGATAGCTTATCAAAGAACAGTTTAAAAATGGATGGCAAAGTTCTACAGTGACAAATACTATTAGTGAGTGCAATAAAAGTTTAGTAAAACATGGTTACTTTTAAAATATTTTAGGAAATCATCTAACTAATATTATTTTATCATTCTTGCTTTAAAAGAGATAAAAAGTTTGTTTTATATTCCTGGAAAATTTCAAATTTTTCTTACAGATACATTTTTGGATATTAAAATTAGAAATTTTGGAATTAGTCTTATAAAAGAACATAATATTATACTGTCTGATAATATTAACAGCAACCACATTAAGTGGCACCCACTGTAGTGTGATACAGACATCATAACCTTGAAGGACTAATACCTGGTGTTCTGCTTCATATTGTAGCATATTTAAAAAAAAAGTGTAGAAAATTGCTCAGTCAACATCTCTTTATCATTCTTATTTTAAAAAAAGGATAAAAAGTTTTTTTTTTACAATCTATGAAAATTTCAAAACTTTGTAAATGACACAGTTTTATAAGCTGAAATTTTAAAATCAAGAATGTTCAAGAATCGATCGAACCTCAAATCGATTCGAGGTTCAGACTGGTGCGTGAAGGTGGAGTTGCCCCTAACTTTCTATTTTTTGACTTCGCTGATTTTTTTGCGTTTTAGTCTATGTGTTTTATGTTTGATCAGACAGCCTGGCTTAGTAAAAGTAGGCGGCCAGTATAACTCTGATTCAAAATCCGGTTACAACCATGTGCATTGCTGATGACGAAATAACGTGGTTCTGAGACTCCTTTGCCAATGCTTTATTTTTTCTTTTTTCTAGTAATTTCCTTCTCCTGATGAAGAGGGACCTTTAGCTGCCCTCGAAATTGATTGAGTGTTTTAATATATGTAACCTAAATACAAGGTTGCTATTCTGATTTTGATAGTTAAAAGTTATTTTTAGTTAACCCCTTCGAGCCGGGTAGCGAAAACGTGTGCTTATCGCTGAGGCCAGCAGTGTCTTACGCGAGCGTCTCTCTAGGGCCGGGGGCTTTTTTGCTACTAAGCCTAAATTCATGAAATTTCCGAAGTATCAACGCATTGTTTAATAATGCTCTATAGAGTATTTAAATGGCTTATGCTTTATAAATATTTATATATATATATACTTTAATTACCTTATTTCTTGTTTAAATGCATATTTTACACATTTTATTTTAATTACTCACCATTTTATGAATTTTAACATTATACATCTGAAAACTAAATATATTACTTAAAATTCTCTTTTCGTATGAAAAATTTGAAAACAGGGATCTACACACAGTCCTACCTTACATTCCTTGCACTCGTAATAACTCATTTGCCGTTTTGGAGGATGTTTCCGGGAATGTGAACAAACGAAGCATCGTCGTCTCATTTTCTTATCAGTCTCTTCTGAACAAAGTTTTGGAAAATGTCTTTCAGTTAATCTTTTAATCTTTCAGAATCAATATCAGAATATCAGAATCAATATCTGAAATATTTTGCATCATTTCTGCTATTTCATGCTCTGTTAAACATTTTCGACGCTTCGACATTGCAACGGTAAAAAACAAAGATTTCACGTCTAACAAGATCTATTTATTTTCTAAAAACTGAACTGCAAACCGAAATACCCAACGCTTTAGAGCAAATAAAACTTCTCTACTTACAGTAAACAACTACCACGTGCGAATAAAGTGCAATTTAAAGAGACGTCATAAATCACGCCATTCAGAAACATTTATTTTCCCGTTTGTTTATATAATCAAAAACACGTGTATGTGAGTCATGCTTTTCTCATTTCGAGTGAAAGGTCTAATTTACATGTATCTGAAACCATATGGACATACAGTGCCATCTTGTGGCAGAAATTATAGTTTGAAAAACGTTCCAAAGTACTGGCACAAATACGTGACAGTCGGTAGAGAATGGAACAATCCTCTGGCACGCCTGCGTGTCGGCCGGTAGGTAAGTGCGTTCGTTGCTGGCATGTATACGTGACAGTCGGCGCGAAGGGGTTAAAGTTACTTTCCTATCCCTTCTAATTTCAGCTTACAAATTTCCGGCCAGAGTGTGTTTTTAGAATCATGGTTAAATGCAAATGAAGGAAGAAAAATATTTAAAGTCGAAGTTCCACTAACTTCGTTAGAGAGCCAGAGATTCTAACCAGCACGCGTTTGCACTTTAAATACACTCTCTCTAAGCTATTTCTATGTTCGCTCGCTTTTCAGGCCCTTGATAGCTTTGCCATTTTGTTAGCGTTTAAGGGGCCAACTCCTATAGAATTTTGGTAGCTTCAGCTATACCTTTTTAGTTAAGTTTTATTTCTTAGTATTCTTGAGTTCAAGCCCAAGTGGAGGCTTTTATGTATGTCCTGAGAAAGGGCCAACTGTGAACTTTATTTTGAGCAATAAAGGGTAATTAACCCTTCTCAAGTTTACGTTTCTGTCTACAGAATTAGGTTGGAACATTACAAACCTCTGTGGCAATAAAAAGTATTAAAATAGATTTCTCTTGGATATGATACCTGTGCCATCCTGTCAAGCAAGATACAGAGTGTGTATAAAATTTGAATTTGATGGCTTATTAAGTAGTAGTTTAAAAATCAATGACAAGCTTTTGACCATTGCTTAAAAACACCATGATTGAACTAACTAAAAAGCTTATAAAAACTACTCACTTTAAAACCCATTCCTAAACTTCCAATTAAATTTGAGCCAGGAACAAGAACTTCATCAAATGTTACTATTCCAGCTGGAAAGCAGAAGTTCTTTATTAACTTTTATTAATATCCTGAAGAATGATACTACAATTATAAGTACTGAAAAATACATAACCATTGCTTCCAATTTTAATATAATATTAGTTATTGCAAAAAAAATGAATGCCTTATTCACAGATGACATTTGTTTACTTTTTTTTGCTTAGCCTAAATACATTTTTACTTGTTTGTTAGTATGTGATTTTGACTTAAATGCTTTAATTATAATATTGTAGGTATTTTTAGCAAAAGTTTTTACAAGTTACTAATCATCTGCTTCTATAAATTACATACATGCTATCATAAAAAATGCTTGCACACAATATTACAGGGTTGGCCAAACTTCAGAGCCGCACGTTTGAATTCAGGAATGTTCGAGAGCCGCATCTAGATTTTCTAAAAGCCACAAGTTCATATTTACATCATTATAGAAGTAGTGGAGGAGGTTTTAAATAGAAAGAAATTCCTGATAAATTTGTAAAAAGAGTCTAAACTAATTAATTACTTCTTTTTTGACACTGAATAGTTTTAGTTTACCATATTTCATACATATATTTTATATGCACAAGCCACACAAATAGCCTGCGAGAGCCGCATCAGGCTCGCAAGCCGTACTTTGGCCACCCCTGCTATATTACATAAAAGTGACAATTAAAAAATTAACATATGAAAACAAAAAATTTACTTCTGTTTTTAAAATTGCATCAAAACTGTAAATTTATATGAATTAATACAGTTATGCATATTATTGTGTTCACACTTTCTTACATCTCAAGAAAAAACATAAAACAGAATTATGTAATATATCAGAAACTACAAGAAATAACTGTTTGCCTTTGCCATTATAATGGTCTATAGAGTATCATATTACTGTAAATTTGGAGATGCTCTAACACTGTAATGCAAAATTTATTATAACATTAAAATTTGAAATCTAGAAACTGACCGTTAGAAGGATGCTATGATAAATAACAAGTTGATTGATTTATACGAAAGGCACACATACTTTGGGTTCCACGAAGGCATACTTTATCATGAGAAGATACATGCACACCTTCAGATTTCTTATCTACAATAAAAGCAGAGAGTTGACACTCATTTGGATCCTGGGGGAGAAAAATTCAAATATCAAAATATGCATAAGATTTACCAAACAACATAATACCTTCTTTCACTAAAATTGCAATAAACTTTAAGAATTATAAGTAAATTCACGTAGGTTTATAATTTAACAGTATGTACCCTATTTTCTCAGTTAATTTTTCCCAAAGCTTTTTTAGCACCAATCTGAAAATTTTTTAAATATCTGCGTAATTTTAACCTTCCTCAATGCGTTCAGAGAAAAAATTAATATATATAGGTGGAATAGTGAAGATCAAAATTCAAGTTCTGAAAGTGAAGCTGTCAAAAATGAGAATATATGGATATATTCTCATTTTTGACAGGAACGATTATTTTGTCGACCGAGTCATAAAGACAATTCTAAAAAAATTAAATAGCTTATTATATTCATATTAATATATAATTAAATGTGGAATTCTCCTTTAACTCAGAGCATGAGAGCACGAAGTAATTTAAGTATTCTTTATTTTAATAGAAAGAAATAAAAATAATTGAGATAAATTAAGTAAAGATGAAGTTAACGGTATGCAGGATTAACATAATGATGCACAGACAGTCCTTTACACAGAGTTCCTCCGGCATTGATAGGATATATTAGTTCAGCTAGTTTTAAATAGTATGATCATCTAAAGTCATCACAGCTAAAGCCGAAAATCAGCATTAGACCGTCTGTCTAATGCAACCCTTGAAGACGAGTGAGCCGTCTGCTCACATCTACGTCTGAAAGCGATCTCCCGCTATCTCGGATGATTCTTACTGCGCTGAGCATGCTGATGACGTCATAATCCTGGTATTCTAATTCAGCATCAGACATTCATGATTCCCACAGCTTCGGCCAGCCTGAAGAGGCATCGTCCTTGATGTCTTTTGAATGGACATCATTATCATGTACCTGAAAAAAAAAAAAAAAAAAAAAAAAAAAAAAGAGTATCAGGTCCTTAGGTTTTGAGCTGATACAAACATTAAATCAATTTGACCATGGCTTCATATGGTCAGCCACAGTAGATGTCAAATTCGGTCCTTCATGGCATCTTACTTTCTCGACTTCATATCTGTCATTTGGTCTTACAGGTATGATTTTATACGGTCCATGAAATTTTGGTCATAGTTTCAAGCCAGTCCCATATTGAGTTCTCTGAATGGCTACCAAGTCACCAATCTTGTATAGTTTCGGTTTCTTTCGTTTCTTGTTGAATTGCTTACGATTCTCTTCTTGTATCTTCAAAATGTTGTTTTTAGCATCTTCTCTCATTTCATCACGTTCTTGCATCAATTGCTTTAGATATTCTTCATTCAATATCTCACTAATTCTCAGATCTTCTTTGTTCTTCATTTTCGTGCCTATGAGAAGCTCAAACGGTGAATATTTCGTACTTCTCGTAGTTGTGCTGTTGATTATCCTCTGAACATCTGGAAACATACTTTGAACCATTTTGTTGAATCTTCATGTGATAATTTTGACAAAACAGGAATCAAAATTCCTATGGATTCGCTCGAATCTGTCCGTTACCTCTCGGAATACCTGGTAGTAATTTTGACATGTTCTATTCCTTCTTCAGGCACAATACGCTGAAAATTCTTTCGATGTAAAGGCACTACCTCGATCTGAAATGATTCTGGCTGGATTTCCAAATACAGTCTGAATTCATTGAATGAATATTGCTTCAATTTTGAAATAACTTCTTGCGTAGTTGGTGATTTCACTGGATAGAACCAAGTAAATTTCGTAAAAGTGTCGACAACAGTTAGAATGTGTTGGTATCTCTTGTTCGTTGATGGAAGAGGTCCAATAAAGTCGATATGATACGTACTCAAAGAAACGTTTTCTTTCGGTAGAGGATGAAGAAATCCTTCTGCTTTTCTTTGCTTCTTGTTGTATAGTATACAGTATTCGTACCTTTAATAATATTTATTACACAATATAATTTCTATCATTACTTAAGACTTCTTGTCAGCATAATAGTAATTTGTAGATAGCATTTTTGAAAAATGTCTTATCCTTAAAGGTGAAAAACTCAAGTAGTGCTTGGCTGATATCTGTTTCAGTTTTGAATTTTTTTCCTTTCAATAAATTTTGCAAGAGACACAAGCTATAGGTCTGGGGAGTATGGTGGATGCTGCAGAATTTCCAAGCTTATCTCTGTGATTTTCTGATGAGTTGCTAAAGCAGCCAGTGGTCTGGCATTATCATGATGCAGTATGATGTGCCATTGAACATTGCCAGCCTCTTTTCTTTGACTGTTTTGTTCAAACCAGCCATTTGCTGCCAGTATCCCTCTGAATTGAACTTTTCTTTAGGTTTCAAAAACTTGTAATGTATTGGTCCTTGGACATCCCACCATACACATGGCATTCTCTGTTCAGGCTCAAACTGGGTTTAGAGGTAGAGGGCACAGGTTGTTTAGGCTCAAAATATGCTTTTTTCCTAATGATGTTTTCGTAGGTAATCCATTTTTTATCACCAGTTACCATTTGATCAGAAAAGGGGTTGTTTTTGTTCTGTGCAAGCAGAGATGTGAATATGATTATTCAATCATGCAAATTTTTCTAAATTAACTCATGAGACATCATCTGAAATACTTATAGACCAATCTCAGTTTCTGAACATGGTTTGAAATGGTTTGCTTGAAACAAGCTATAGGTCTTGGGAGTATGGTGGATGCTGCAGAATTTCCCAGCTTATCTCTGTGATTTTCTGATGAGTTGCTAAAGCAGCCAGTGGATTGGTTACCAGTTACCATTTGATCAGAAAAGGGGTTGTTTTTGTTCTGTGCAAGCAAAGATGTGAATATGATTAGTCAATCATGCAAATTTTTCTCAATTAACTCATGAGACACCATCTGAAATACTTATAGACCAATCCCAGTTTCTGAACATGGTTTGAAATGGTTTGTTGAGCAGAGTTAAGTGTTTCTGCAATCTTTGACATTGTCAAAAAAGGATCTTATTCCATTATGATCTTGATAATACCACCATCAATCTAATATGGTTTGATCAATTAAAATCAAAATCACCTGCTTAAAATTTTTCAAACCATATCCTGCATGTTCTATTCAACACCAAATCTTCACCACTAAATTTCAACATGCTTTTGTTGCATTTCTTCCTATTGGAATTTGTATAAAGTAGAATATTGAAAATGAACTTTATCAGTAGCCATGCTTACACAGTCGCATCTCACTTAATAATGACATGAGACACTTGTTTCAATTAATTTAGAACAGCAGATGTTTAGAAATGTAGTGATAGAGCAAGACAGCCATATATGTTTCAAATGAACAACAATATACATGCCGAAATATGAAATAACATAACTGTTATACAGAACATTCTGGCAGACTTTATATTACAGTGGATGTCTCCTTTCCATACCATTATTATAAAGTATCTATTACTAATAAGAAACAAATACTACAGCTTGAATTACATCTTAATATTATAAATTTTAAGACAGGAACTGTTAGTAATCTGAGGTTGCAATTTACTTTTCAAGCTGCAAATAATTTTTTGACATATTTTATAATCCTTTACATCCTATACCTAGTATTCCATTCAAATTGGCAACTATCTTTTTAGTGCAAGGACTTCTACAAAATACTAGGTGAGGCATGTCAGTGCTTTCAGAAAATACTATTTTTTTTTCAAAGAAATATTTTAATGAGATGATGACTGCTTCAGATTCTGTTTCAAATTACATTATATTCTAGATTGCCTTTTTTTGCCTTTTCACTAAAGTGTGCAACATAAACTGATCACCTGAAGAAGATGTCAGAAGTAGTTAATATTCCTTTGAAATTACTAACATAAAAATTCAGTTAATTTTTTCCAGTTTTATTAATGAGACAAAAAAAAAAAAAAAAAAAAAAAAAAAAAAAGGTCCTATGTTCAAGATCTGTGGATAATATGAAGAAAAGATTTTAGATTTTAAATTTAAATTAACTTTATGATCATAGATATTTGAGTTTTTAAAATAAATTACACATTTAAAAAAAAAAAAAAAAAAAAAAAAAAAACCTTTTTTTTAATACACTGCTCTCGAAGTACACACATGTGATCATATATCAAGATATAATACAAGCATCATCAAAAATAGCAAAATCTAACTTGCTCTTTAATTTTTTTCTGGGGGGGGGATAAAAATTTGGCTTAGCATTTTTTAAAGAAAAGTATAGATTTCTCTCTCTCTCTCTCTTTTTTTTTTTTTTTTAAATTTATGACTCTGCACCTGCAGTGCTAATATATGCAAATAACTTTTAAGTTAAGGCTGCCCACAAGTTATTTAAATTATATTGAATACTCAGATTCTCTGAAATATATTAAACTCAATCTTTTATAAACAAAAGTAATGCTGTTAAAATTGTTCTTTAACTCATTACAATGAGTTAACCAATAGCTTTGGAATCAACAAATTACCACTCATTTTAATTCTAACTGAACAATATCACTTACTTATATCAAGATAATTCATAATTTTACTTTGAAATCATATAAGATTAAACTTGCATACGCTTTACTTCTATTATCAAATAATGAAAAATCTGTATGTATGTAGTTTCTTGCATTATGAAAAAATGTGACTCCTATAGCATGGGCGTAGCCAGCTCAAATTACGGGAGGGTGCCCGTTGCGATTCCTATGGCTATCCTGTTCTACCCATTACAGCATCTTTAAGTTACAGATAATTATTACGTGAAGAATACATATTATGTTAATAGCAGTTATTGTAATATAAATAATAATTATATTATAAATTTTAATATAATAATTATGTATATATTATAAATTTTAATAATAATAAAATCATGTAACAATTATGGATATATTGCATTTAATTATCGTATTTATAATTATTACCTTACAAACATATTAAATGCGTAACTCTCTTTTTGTTTTTTACTTTAACTGCTTTAACCTTTATTCTGTTGTGTGCCCTTTAAAGAGACACAGCAACACAAAGAATTTTCCTATCAGACTGCCCTAAAAC